ACACACACACACACACACACTCATCACAACACCTTTAATATTCATGTGTACCATGTACACACACACACTTATATAACAGCAGTCCTCTGTCGGTATCCAGCGTATTTCTGGTTCTCAGTGTGAAAAGTCTTATTTCCCAGTTTTCCTAGTCTCATTAGAATCTCACCGTGTGACGAGCAGCTTTCTAAACAAACAGGTCTTGTTAAACTGTTCAGCCAGTTACTCCATTAAGCTGGAACACAAACATTCCCACCAGTTGGGTGAGTTGTCTTGGTAACAACGGCAGCGAGGGAGAGACTTAACGCTGTGACTGCTTCATTTGAGAACCACCTAAAATGACTGAAACCATCTTTAGTGTGCATTTTCATTTTTTGGATTGGTGCATGTCCCATCCACTAACATGGAGGAGAATTATGAGCAATTAATGCAGCCTGCCACCAGGGCAGCAATCATGTCACTTTGGCGACACTTTTGGGAGCTGTAATGTCTAAGTACATTGTTGTCGACTAGTGACTAGTAGGCGATTATATCTGTTCATATTCTCATTGAAGAGACGAACACCCAGCTGAACAGTTGTGTTTGCACTAATTCCCTCTTTATGGCAAATTTAGCAAAGATTTGTGCTGCTCGAGTCGCACTTATGATATGAGCTTTGAATTTCTACCCAAGAGTTTTGTATGTTTGCCAATTAAAGAAATAACCAGTAACCGAAGAAGAGAGGGTGTTATTAATAATTTAAAGGCCAGAATTTAAAAAAAAAAAAAAAGTGGCCACGTTGGATTCATATTTAGCTGAAACTCTGAAATAGAGAGAGTGTTCTACGTGGCGCAGAGAAATGTCTCACACAGACTTGTGTATGTAGAGATATGTAATGGAGGTGACATGAATCCTCAACAGCATTATCTTGTGGTTTTTGCAGATAGCAGAAGCAGCCAAGACGTCCTCTCAGGCTGATGACTTGTACCTGGATGACACAGGCTCAGGAGGTTATTACCCTGAAGATGATGACGACTTTAACTCAGGGTCTGGCTCAGGTGAGACACATTTACACACACACACACACACACACACACACACACACACACACACAGGCAATTACCTCAAGGTGTGATGACATTCATTTTCGAGTATGCTGTCGGTAAGTTTTATGAACCGAGAAGTTTTTCTTCAGCTGTAGAATAAAGTTGTTCTTACACTTCCTCCCTCCTCTCTCTTCCTTTTTTTTTATTTCCCTCCTTCCTCTTCCTCTTCCTCTGCTCATCTTTTCTTTCTTTCATTGCCTCTCTCTTTTTCTCACTCGATTCGAATTGTGATTGCCTTGTCACCCAGGCCGCTGTGGGCAAGTGTGCAAATTTCAGATGTGTTTTTTATTAGCTCCTCTGCTCTGCTTGCTTGAAGCACCTTTGTTTTAAATCGCTCGTTCTTTGGTCAAAAGTAACTCGTCTCCTCGAGGGAGGTGTTCAGCCGCAGAGGGAGAAGGTCACGTCAGGTAAAAGGAGGCAGGACAGTGATCAATAGCACTTCCAATACTGTATAACCTATAGCTGTGCTCTGCTGTATTCTTGCTTCTTTAAACTGTAAAGACAAAGTACTTGGATACTCTGGATATGAAATATTGATCACATATATTTAACCTCTTTGCTCAAGTCATTCTATACTTGAATTAAGCCTCTCAGATATTTTATTTCTTCCTTGTTGAGCAATATTATTTACCTGTCATCCTCTTTTCTTTTTTTTTCATCTCCCAGGAGTGGGTGAAGAAGTGGTGAAGGAAACGGTGACTATCAGCATGGTTTATTTCGAGCCCAATGCAGCACAGCCCACCCAGGACTCCACCAAAGATTTCACTCCCAGGGTGGACTCGGCTACCGTCAGAGAAAAGACACGCGACAGCCCACCCAGGAAACCATTCAGAACAACGGTAAGAGGGGCTGTAATATCGACAGGACGGCAAACAAGAATTGATTTTTGTGTTAAAACTTTTTAAGGAGTTCATTCCCCCGTTCGGAATAATCACGGTGACTCATTTCTAACAACCCTGACTCAACAGAGCGGCACAGCACCTCACCGTATCTTTATCTGACCCAGTATATGTCATCAAATCCCTCGTAATACCAGCAGCTGTGAGGTCACTTTCAGGACAAAGATCAAGTGCTCACATCAATTCTCAATGTTTTTCGCTCCATTGCAAAATATGCAGGATTACGTCTCCCTCTCAGATCATAATCACAGATTCTGGAGCCGTCCTCGATCTCGCTGCTGGGTCGCGTTCCTACTGTAGCGTACTGGATACTGCATCTGTTTGGGATTAGTCGTCATGGTCTCAACCCCCCTAAGCCGAGCCTACCTGGCCTCGTTCCACTTATTCTCCTCTTTTCTCTGTCACTACAACTCTCTTAGTCAACGGTTGTGGTTCAGTTCCATGTTGGTTCTTTGCATCCTTATGTGTGGGCAGGAAAAGGTCAATATTATGGGAAATAGACAGAATCTGAATAATAGTAATTACTGTGCAGCTAGTTCGTTTTGCCGTCACTGTGAGATTATCAAGTAACCAGCAGAGATTCCTCAAAGTTTCTGCTCCCGGCCAAAAAATAGTCGGGTACTTACAGTCGTTATCATACCAGGGAGGGATTTAGGGATTAAGCTATAACACCAAAATTATCAAATTCTTCTAAACACACAGACACACACTCAAAACTCTCTGTTTTCCTTCTCCTTACCCAGGCACCAGTGCCAGTTACAGAGGACATGCAGAGGAAAGAGATGACCAGTACGACCAGTGCCCCCAGCTCACCCCAGGAGGCCGTTGAGGTTCACACTGAAAACCTCTTCCAGAGGACAGAGGTGTTGGCAGGTATGTGTCAGACATCATTTCCTCTCTGGAGAACTACTTATAGTTTAGTAAATGTAGTTTCTACATTTACGTCTTTCGTCCACACGTTTGGAAACAATGGAGCAGTCTTATCGATGACGCAGGTTCTCATCAGTCCTAACTTGACCACCTGCAGCGAAGACAAAATACTGTTCCTTGTCTCACTTTAACCCGTGTTATAGTTTGGACCTGTATTATCACTGATACGCAGCTAAAATGTTCATGTGGACGGAGATCGTTCTAGTTTTAAACGTATTAGTGTGGACGTCACCTCAAAGTCACAAGGACACAATTATATGCCTTTAACTCGACTCCAGTTTCTGTTCCCACTGAAGTCTCTTTTTTTAGTTTTGCTTCAGCCTCTCAGTTTTACTCTCCACCAATTGGCACATTGAGGCATTCTGGGAGTTAATCTTTATTTAGCAGTTAGTCTAATTTCTTCTCAAATTCTAATATGTTACAACATCAGATTTTTCCCCTAAAGTCTCTCACCCAGTCCTCTTCTCAAAATAATTACTTCTAATAAACTCTGTCAGAGTCCCTCTTTGGGGCCTTGAAGAATTCACCACAATCGTGGGCGTTCGCTGCTTTGAATACATGAAAAAGGAAATGATTGGAGTCAAAAATCGCAGCGCTCTTTGATGCCGTCCCTCTTTTCTCTGAGTGTCTGAGGCAAGCATTGATTGGCACCTCGCTCGTGCTCTGTTGTGATCTCCATCTGGTGTTGGCAACGTGCTGAAACAACATCAACAAGCACAAATCAGGACACAAATGCGTCACAGCTCTCTCCGATTGATGGGCTCATATCTTTTTTTTTTTTTTTCCATATTATTCTTGGATTGTATTGGAAAATGTGATTGCCAGCGTAAAGTCCTCAGATAATGCCTCCTGAATGGAAATGAAAGTATAATTTGGTCACCTCCACCCTTCCTCTTCTCCACCTCATTCAATTTACCCTTCCTTTTTGCTCATAACCATTAATCTTCATCTCCTGCATGATTCCTATGAAAAATAATTGGCCGTAATCTAATTTTCATTTACTCACTCTGCACTGTGCTACTGCTTCATGGAGCCCAGCAGTTGGGCGGGTGCCAGGATATCTACCCATGATGCCGCGGGGCCAGTCAACATGTGGAAACCTAAAGTGGAGCAGAGGGCAGATCGTAGCACCAGGAGACACCTTAAACAGATTAGGAAGCTATAAAGAACCTCATACAGGCATAATTGGGAGGGAGAGTAAAATAAGCTCATGTGGCGAGTTAGGAGCATTCGTGAGGAGAGTCAGGGTCAAAGCTGGAGGGGGGAATTTCTCGATAAAGCCTCGGTGGATTTAATTCAGATTTCCCTTTATGTTAACCCACTGTTGGCCGATTGGTTCAATGTGTCCGTTACAGAGAGTTAAACCTCAAACGTTCTGTCTTCGTCTCACAGGGTCTGATTCAGAAACTTTAATCCCCCAGATCATTTTAGCCACAGATTAATTTTGAATTGTTTGTTCTGGCAAAAATATGGAATTATAGTTTTTAAAACCAATGTGGAATTCAGAATATCTAATGTGGAAATCAAACGTGCATTATGGGAAGTGAAGTCCTGGTGTCAGTCAATATTTTTAGTCCCGCAATGACATTTATCATTATCGACGTGTTCAGGTACAGGATCCAGTTCTAACCATACTTGACCGACAGTAGTTTGTTTTCCTCTCGCTGGATTTATGTCAGAGATGGAGCCGGTGCTTCTACTTTCCTGCTCTTCAGTCCCAGTCGGCCTTCGCTGATTGGAAAAACAGACCATGTCGAATCAGCCACACTTGGGGCAACACAGCGCTGTGTACCAATCAAGGATTGGAGCATTAATATCCTCTTAATGGAACGCTAACTTTCAAACTCACCAGCACATTAGAGGAGGTGAAATGAACCACAGAAAACGACTGACTCTGCTGATTGAGATTGACATTTTAGTAACAGCATTGGTTTCAAAAGTCGCCGCTGACGGTTGCGGTTTGGTTACAGTACATTTAATCCCTAAATTCTGATAATATGCTGTTGCATTGCATTAGTATTCCAATTTATTCCAACAGTAGCAGGAGCTGTGCGTCGCACCCTTGCTCGAAGGTATGTGACAAAAGAGGGAGACCACATAATAATGTAAATAATGATAAATGTTTTAAAGGAGACTTAATGCTCATGTTCAGGTTCATAATTTTTTATTTGGGTGATTTATTTAAAGAGGTTTACAGGCTCTTATGTTCAGGAAACATTGCATTTCTCATTCTATTCATTGCTGCAGCTCCTCTTTTCAGCCTCTGTCTGAAACACATGGTTTTAACTCCTGCCTCTTTTAGACCCCCCCCCCCAGTCTCAGCAGCTTCAGGTTCAGCAGTGTTTTCTGTGGGGGAGAGGAGAACTTTGGACTTTTGAACTCTGCAGAACTTCAACACACACAAAAAAACCTACATAACACACAACCGGAAAGAAAACCTCCAAAGCATCATATGCCTCTTTTAATTAAGTGAACATCAAGAGGATGAATCTGTGTGAGTGAGCGATGAGAAATGTTAATTTTTAAGTTGTAGAGAAGTGCACAGGACAAGGAATCTACCGTAATGTTCTCCTGGCCCTTAAAGTGCTGGATGTCCAAATTATAAGGCTGCACGAGCCTCTTATTTAGATACTGCAAATACTACAATTAGCCTTTCGGAGGCTAGATCTACCTGAAAGTGCTGCAAAGCCCAGATCATTGCCAGCACTTGTTTTGGTGATAGAAGCTGGTAGGAGTTGAATTTTCTTGGAAAATAAGGTAACTGAACCTTGTTTGTCAGCTTGAAAGAGATGTGCACCTGCTCCACCGTGTCTGGTATCCACGTGAAGCATGACAGGCCGATCCAGCGGGGGGAGTGAACAGAACTGGAGCAGAACATAACAAAGCTTTAATGTCATCAAAAGCCTCTGCTCCGCCCATCAATTTCCTAAAATAAAGGGAGCACATGGATGAAAAAGAAGATGGGGCCACCCATAGAGAGATAGAAGAGCCGCCTCATGGTAAACCATAAAGAGGCAGCTCCGTTTTCAAGTAGCCTGCAATTTAAGGTGTCATTCACGCACAGTAGACTTTACCTCCTGAGTATTGTCAGCTAACATCCCTTTTTGTCTTTGCCTCTCTTAGCTGTTATCGCAGGCGGCGTGATCGGCTTCCTGTTCGCCATCTTCCTCATCCTCCTGCTGGTCTACCGCATGAGGAAGAAGGACGAGGGCAGCTACGACCTGGGAGAGAGAAAACCCTCCGGTGCAGCCTATCAGAAGGCCCCAACCAAGGAGTTTTATGCATAAGGTCCCACCCCCACCTCTCATCACCACATTGACAAATCTCAAGTGACTGTGGGGAAAACTTGATCTTGTAAAATTATTAGGTGATTAGGTGTCACCCTTTTTAGAGAATGAAAAAAAAATGTATTGTAAAAAGTTTGAAAGTCCTCAAGAC